CCACACCCATGGGAGAAATAGGACCTCCGGTTGAAGTCAGGCAGCTTTCGACAGAGCAGTTGCCAATACGAGCTGGCATGTTGGAAGCATTTTTGCTCTCCAGAGCTGCAGCAAGTTCAGACAAGGATGGCAGTTTTGTGGTTTCAAGTGGTATCATCCCTTGACAATCATTGGAGACCTTGATGGCCAGCTCAGAAAGTTCTTCCCTAGCAGCTTCAAGACCGGCAAATGTCACAGCCTGGTCATTCAGAGCCTTACATGCTTTCTCAAGTATTGACTGTAGGTATTTGCCTTGTGCTTCAATTCGGAGTTGAAGATGACGCTGTACCTGCATAGAGTAAAACCACGTAAGCATCCTTCTGCAAAATCATAAACTAAAAATTTTGTTTAAGTATAGCCAGAAACATATAAGAAAACCAAGTGCACAATAAAATAAGTTTTCAGAAAGAAAGACAAACTTCTGATCATGTCAACATCAAGGTAATGCAACCTCAATGGTCATCAGGAAGACAGGAACCTCAGAAAAAGAAGAAGCACATAAAGTTCACTCATTGTATAGATATTTGTGTTCACAATACTTGTGTCTGTGATCAAATGTGAAAGCTCTGGAGGTGGTTAGAGTGAAGGAACAGCACATAAGCAACTATAGGTAGACATGGCCAGAACTATTGGAACCAACCTCTAACTGTTCATGCAGTCTGCGCTGCACTTCCATTTGTACTCGTAGAGCCTCAGTCACCTGGTAGCCACTGTTTAGAAGATAATTTCAGCAGTCATATAAGGTAAGGATAACTGGTAAACTTTAGCAAATATTGAAAGGAATAACATACTCATTTAGATCTTGTGCAACCATTCTTGATGATGTGGTAGATGAACCAGTATCCTGACTTTCTGCAACACAGGAAGCTGCAACGCCAACTACAGATCATTACTGGTCAATGACTCATAAGAATTTTAAGATATGAGATGAACTAAAATGCCAGATAAACCAAAAGGTTAAATTAACAACCAGAAGAAAAAAGATAAAACAGTGTAGCCATCTTTTAAAACCCCAACAGCCCAGGATTACAAACCCCAAGATGTTTAGTTTCTCTTCATCAGTGCACTGATAGAATGTTCAAAAAATAAGAGGAAGGAGCAACCAATAACCAGGCTAATGCGGGAAGAAACCTTCCTTTGATGTGGCCCTCAAGGAGCAAAATATTAATAATAATAAATAAAACGAAAAAGATGAAAGAAGTTCTCTCATTCATATTAGGATGCACTCAATGCAGTAGTTTTGTGAAGGGGTAAGGATAGGTACCATCCTTAGAGTTGTCAGCTGATTCCTTGCATGCTTTCTTCCCCAATCGGTATTTCTGTGAATAAAGGGCATGAAGTAAAGGAATAAGAATTAGAATCTGCAAATACACTAAGAATTAAATTTTCCATTAGCTTAGTTGGTTATGATATCTGGTAGTGGACAGAGAAGATAAGAAAACACACACAAATCAAATCACTGGAGACTACATCAGACTATCAAGATCCAACTTTGACAAACACAAGAGGGTACTGAATACATAATATGTGCAGTCAGAAACTATTCATCTTTTGGCTGGCCAAAACAAGGGGAGAGTATTCCTCCAATTTAACTAGGTATGCTAAAGTTCTATATCATGATCATTTCAAGAGATTGTAGCAACAACAAACCTGCAAATGAGATTTCAAGTGATAGAGTGTAAGCCCTTTAACTCCCATTGTTCTCATAATAGTCTTCGGTGTCGCTTCTGCAATGAATATGAAACAGAATAAGAATGTGGCCATCAAGATTAAACTAAATGAATGATAGCATATGGTACATAGTGGGTGAATATACAAAAGTCGTTGTAAATTCGTAATTTGTGTCAATCTGAAACTCGGAATTAAAAGCAAATACAATGAGCCTAGACAAGTGACAATAATGAATCCTAATCATAACAATAACCTAAAGGGTCCAAAACAATAATTTATTTCTTTGGTTGTACTTCGCTAGAGCAGTATTTCTGAAACAAATGATCAGAAGTAATCCAGAAAGATTATCAGAAACTAGAATCGAAGTGTAACATCCAAATAAGAACAAGCTCACGAGGAACAAGTCAGTTTGTGTGGCTATGCACACCTGTGCATCTGCCTATCTTATATGTATACACCAATGAAGCCAGAGATTTTTCCTTAGTCTATCACAATGTCTTGAACAACAGGTCAAAGGATCAGCTGAGAGCTGTCCTATGAGATCGGTATCGAATAGAAATTAGATAAGCATCTAAAATGTCATGATCCATTTTTGGCAATGATATTACATATTCCAAGGTCAGAGAATAACTGCTGGCCATACACTAAGGTTAAAAGGTCAACGATCAAAATGTAGCAATGATGCTTGGTGACTGAGTCAAAACTGACATATAGGGCATGCTTATTACATAACTTACTTGCTAAGGTAAAGAACTCCCCATTTTATCGCTTTAATTCAAAATAAATGTTGAACGTAGTAATATCAAATGACTTAGTGATCAATGACTACACACAGACTCCAAACAAAAGATTGCTTACCGAAGCCAATTTTGTGCATCAAGATTCTACTTGTGCAATCCAAGCACAATAGAACACTGAAAACACAATAGTCAATCAAAAAATTTTTAAAAATAAAGAAAATAAAGGCTTAGAAATTAGGGGAAAAAAATTCTAAGATCTAAGAGAAAGAGCAACACAAAGAGGAAAAAAAGAAGCAATAACAAGAACCAAGACCTCAGATAGGGAAACCAACCCAAAAAAATAAAATCACAAAGGGAAATTAACAAAGCGCACTAATCAATCAAGTAAACCGAATAGAAAAAAGTAGGGGAAAATATAGCCACGTTTCCAGCACTAAGAAGCAAAGAGCTTAGAGGGACCAAGAAAATCCACTAACCAAAATGCAACTAGTAAACAACCCATATCACACATTAATCCAAAAAGAAGTTACAAGTGGGCGCTTGACATTCTGAAGAGAAAACCCAAAAGGGAGAACCCACTAAAAGTTGAAAACAAAGCAAACACATTTACATACAGAAACAATATACCCACATATGAACACATGAATGAGAAATGGACAAACTCACTTTCAGGACCACCAAGCTGGGTAACAGCATCAACGAAGCGCTCGTGAAGGTCGGCAGTCCAGCGCAGGCGGGGCTTGGGATCCGTGGTGAGGACCAAGCAGGCATCTCCAGGTAAGTTGGTCCCGTCAAGCGAGCCCTGGTACTCCCCACCATGGCCCACCGTCCCATCCAAAGGCAGCGACCTAATCGCCGAGTACATTCTCAGGAAGCTCCCCCACTGAAGTAAAAGCACAGGAAATGGGGGTGAGGAAGAAGGATCCGAATTGAGTGTGGGCAGATATTCGGGTCCGGGGCACGCCGGGGAGGAGGAGGAGGAGGAAGAGAGAGATTGCAAGGGAAGTGTCAAGATTGAGGCATGCAAATGGGAACTGCAATTTGCAGAGAGGTTAAGACAGCAATGTCTTGTTCTGTCTCCGTCATTCCCTGTCAATTTCTACTCTCTCTTTCTTCACACAATCAAAAATAAAAGCTTTCTTTCTTTTACGTATGGCTTGTTTGGGGAGTGTAGTTATGGAGAACAAGTGAACAAACTTATTTGGTAAGCTCTTTAAAATTATATATTATTTAATTAAAAATATTTATATATTTTTAAAATAAATAATTATACTATTTAAAAATATTAATTTATAAATTAATTTTAATTTATTAAATAATAAATATTAACTATTTTATCAATTATAAATTGTTTTTAGTAATCAAATTAAAATAAAAATATTAGAGTTTGAATAATTTGAGAAAAATATGAAGAAATGATAAAAAAAATGTTTCATCTAATCAAAGAGATCAGTATTTTACCTTCCAAATCCAAAATCAGAGTGTGAAACGTTAGGGGGCCTCTCAATTTCAAATACCTCTTAATTTAATACTTAATATTTTGTTATATAATTCAATTTTATTAATTAATAATTTAATAATAATTTTTAAAAAAAATAAATTTTTTTTAAATTTAAATTATATAACGTATAAATAAAGTGGGTTGAGAAATAAAAAAAATTACTTTCTATTATATAAC